GCGATTCATTGAAGCCGACTGAATCGCGAATCGCCACTCTCAAATTTGACGAGCAGGATCCAGCCCTATTCTAAACCTTATATCTGTTTAATTAAACCAAGGAAAGGAATTTTGAATGTTTAAATATGTAAAAACTGAATACATTTTTTAAAAAGTGATTTAAATCACTGATTTTTATTTTAAAAATCAAGTTGATTAAAATTTTAAAAATCAACTGATTTAAATAAACCCAACCCTGTTAGTGTGACAGGGGTTATGTATTAAAATAGGGTGGCTGCGGCCGCGTTGGACAGGTGCCCGTGTTACACAATTAAGTTATATAGAAAAAAAGCAAGAGGGGAAATGGTGGCCGTCTTATAGAGGTGGCCGCCAGGGCAGGTTTCACTGTAATTTATATTTTTACTTTGCTGATGATTTGCAAATTCGACATATTTTTTTAGCTGTTTGTTTTTGTTCCGTTTACATTATTACCATGAATTACAACTTGAATATTTAAGCCCAGCATTTTACTTCATCTAATTTTACATTCATCTCCCTTTCTAAAGAGATAAAACACTTGAAGTTTAATTTGGTCAGAACTTATAGCCCACTGTGTAAGTGACCCTGTGCTTTATTTTGACTGATCAAAATTAAATTCAGAAAAAAAAGGAAACAAAGAGCTTTAATTAAGTGGATTCCACTAAATAGCAGAAAGCAAAAAACCAAAGTGATTTTCGCTGCTCTAAATATTTAACCCAAAATATAAAAAAATAGAATTCAATCAGTCAGAATCAATTTAATATAAAATTTTTAAAAGGCTGCATACGCAGCGGAAGAAGAAAACGTAGAAATTATCTTCTAAAAAATCCAAAGTGTGACAAAGAATTGAATGAGAGATAATTTCTCCTTTAAAGAGTTCTCGTGCACTCCGTTGAAGCAGCAGGAGATAGAATGGTCGAGAATTTACTGTTTATCTGTCATTACTTGCCTGGTAGTGAAGTACAATAATTTAGGTAATTTATACATTACATGAAGGAAGTCTTCTAAAGCAAACAACAATGCTGAAAAAGAAAAGAGCGAGGAGGAGGGGCTGTGACTGTGACATAGTCAAATGTCAAGGCTCTATCTATTAAAGATATAATTCTCAGTGCACTTAAAATAGGGAAAGTTTTGTCAAATTCACATCCCATTACCGATCATTTTTATACAGTTGAAGACAGCCAAATTTTCCGTCATCGAGGGGCAAAAGCTACCATAAGGCACAATTGAATCAAAATATTCCAAAATCAAAAGCTTGGATTTGCTGTCATGATCAGCTTCAGTTTGGTTAAACGGTGGCCAGTAATCCAATCTCAAGGCTGCATGCATTGTGGGGGTCAAACATTTTGATTTATTGTTTTCAGCAGATCTATGGCTGTAGGCTACGGCTATGCAATAGGATAAAAAGTCCTAAAGCCTATACACACATGTCATGTGTAGTAAAGTCCTAAAGTAAGGACTTTTGAGTTAAGTTAAATTTTGGGCATTCTACGGTTTTGGCTCAAAGAGTAGCCTACTGGTATTCAATACTGACTTAAAAATACTAGGTATCAATGTTTTATCCGAAAGAGAGCAAGAGAGATGCGCTGCAATTTTTCAGTACAAAATGGGCAGCATTATTTCACTCACAAAGAGGGGGGGGGGGGGGTGTTTGTTTCAGGGGAGCAAACATCATATTCGGCATACGCAGCGAAAAGTGATCGTTTTGAGCCAGAAGTAACTGTCGATGGAGCCAAGACCTAAATGAGCTTTTGCCAATAGGCGTTGATGATAAGGTTTTTAATATTTCGTTTTTACTTGAATTGTTCTATTCATGTATTATATCTCCCCCTACAAAAACATGTATTTAAAAACCTACAGACTGCATGCTAAGCTGTGTAACTGGCGTTATCTAACGTCAAGTCAATTTTTTTCAAACATAACTTCGATGACACATTTTTTTGAATTTGTATATTTATATATATTCTTCTTCTGAAGCAACGCGCGGACTTCTGCGAACACTTTTCGGGCTGAGTGAACAATCTTGTCTGCTATCTTTGGTAGGGATAGTCTAGATCTAGATCTAATTCTAATTGTGCAATGTTTGTTTTTGCCCGGAAGTTCTCGCAAGAACTACTCCTCTCTCTCTCTGTTTTTCTGCCTCCATCGGTGTGGACGATCAAATTGACAAAAATAAAAATAAAAAATAATGTTCAAACACAAAATTAAATTAATTTTGTCGTCTACAAAGATGCTGCGGCTAACTTTTCGAATCGAGCCGAACTACGCGGGTCGCCATTTTGTTTTGCCCAAAAGTTCTCACGCTTCTCCCCCCCCCACCCTCTCTCTCTCTCTCTCTGCCCACAAACAAAATCGCACGCTTTCAACACAAGAGCGCTGGAGCGTTTGTTCACGGCACAAAATTCTACACTTCTGTTATCTCAGTGGTTCACGGTGAACGCTGGTTGGGGTAGACTATCACGATGAACACACTCGCCTGCACAGAATAGAGGTGGCTTTTAGTATATTTGATGTTTTGCAGTTGTTAGGTTTGATAGATTAGCTCGCCACGCAACAAACGCATAGATCTAGATTCTAAAGTCTAGATCTAGAATCTACATGTAGATCTAGATTAGATCTAGATCTAAGAGTCTAGATATCTAGATCAAATAAGGGAGTGGGAACTAGATATATCTAGATATCTAGATCTAGAATCTAGATCTAGATCTAGTCTAGAGAATCTAGACCTACCGAAAAAGCACCGCAAGTGTGTATGAAAAAAACGGAAAAAGCCTGAAAAACCTGAGATTTGGCATCCCTGTACTGTAGATTAGATCTAAAATCTAGATCTAGAATCTAGAAATTCTAGATCTACTCTTGGTACTTTGGTGTCAGAACTTGGTTCTTCCGCCTCAGAGTCTGAGACCCAAGGTCCTGCTTGAGAAACATGCTACACCTGGAATTCATTCTTAGACTATCCTGTCAAACACAAAAATGTCCTCACCTGTGGGTCGGGGCTCTTCAGACAGTCAAAGAATCGAGGCCAGTCAAGGTGAAGGAGGGAGGGAGAGTCAATACACAATAAACAAGTAGATTTGATTAGAGTAGTAGAGTCTAGATTAGATCTAACAACCGGATCTCTATGACAAATTAGGCCTAGACGTCCAGGACCTTTATTTACGCCTAGCTTTTAAAACAATCAATTATTTGGCCCACTTCGGCAAGTTATTCTTTTTGCTGGGTGCTAAGCCTGCTGCCTACTCACCAACGGATATAAAGTTATCAAAGTCGTTGATACAGAAATCTAAGGCTAGCCTACTTCCTTGTTCGAGTTATTGATGGTCTGCGGAGTTCACTTTGGTTTCGGGGGTGCGTATTGAACTTGATAATAGAATGTTAATTGTAAGGCCTATGGGCCTGCTGGCCTCGGTCGAAAATCCAATGTCTTCCAGTCTTCCAGGAAGCCAATCCTACCTTCGTCCTATTTGTCAACAATAGAACTGTGGTATTGGCCAGGTTTTACCCGATCTGTATGACATCTTTGATGCAGCCAACCTCTTTGATGATATCAAAGATCCTTAACGAGTATAGGGTCTTCAGTGACAGTTACACATTACAAAGACCTTACTGTACAGCCTCCTAGTCTGAAACCACTGAATTCTACACTTAGTGTAGAATTCTGTGTCTGAAACTCAACGTTATGCCGTAAAAAGGAGATAACTTCCTTACACACTAGGCCTTATGCAGTTATCGAGGGCTTTTATATTACGTTGGTCATCCAACGTTTCGACCCTCATGCAAAGACCTGAGAATTAAACAGAGCTACATTGTACATTATAATAGTGTGTATTTTGTTTTTGTTGCGTTTACCACGAACTGACGAAAGTGAATGAAGTTATCTTTATACATTTACATACAAGTTTTACTAATGTATGATCTTTGATAATTACCGGCGGTACCGGTACAGGCACTGAAATAGGTTTTAAAAAACATTAATGTTCTCTTTCCCTAGCAACCACAAATTTCCAAGCATTCGAACGCTCATAATTGTTCAATCGTGATGAAATACGTAAAGTAAAACCAGAGAGGTAGAAACCTCCGGTTATTCAGTTAGACACACGGTGCATTAAGAATTTTCAAAGTAACTCCCCCCCCCCCCCCCAAAAAAAAAAAAGTGGGTGGGGGGAGAGAAGCTAGTGTTTGTAGCAATTGTAAAAGGAGAGATTAAGATTAGTCAATCTTTATTCTCGTGAACTGTAGGCTACTATAGTGTCGTCAAAAATTCGTGGCGCAACTTATCCTCAAATAGCTTTATAACAGGTGAGTGAATCAATGTCAATAATACTTTGCACACAGTTTGTCTCATTATCTTAACTTAATCATATTTTTCCACATCAATTGAGGCAAGACTAAAAAACTTTTCTTCATAATTTTATATAAAATACTACAAATCTCGTTCACGCGGATAATAGAATTGTTCACCGTACTTGATCCCGCTTCCCACACACATTTTGCATGCGCATATGGATTACGTCACAGCTCATTAATGACACTTTTTAGTTGCAAAACTAGTTACAAGAAATTATTTTTAGGCCTATAGTGAACACTTTTTTGCCCTAAAAGTTCTCAAAACATGCGTTCAATAAAGATAATCTCGCGATTAGAAAAAAACGAACTTACTTGTAACAAAGAGTCTACATAATCTTTGCTTGTAAAAGCGATATCGTCCCAGCTGTAAACCTTTTAAAATCAGAAGAAACCACCCACTAGGATTTCTTATTAGTATTTATTAAGGAATTTTCTAGAATAGAGCCTACTAGGTCTTTACAAACATATTGATCTGTTAAGACAAATTGATACAAGTCAATGTGCAAAAGCTGGAGAGTTTATGTTCGATAGTTGAGGAGATATTTGAAAATAAGTTGCGCCACGAATTTTTGACCGCACTATACAGTGGAAACCATATATAACAGGCCCGGTAATAACAGGGATCCGGCATTAACAGGGATTTTTAAAATCCCCGTTTTTTCCTACTCTTTGTCTCTATTAAAAATTATCGGCAATAACAGGGCCTAATCGGAGCCCAACCGCTTATAGCAGGAACAAAGGCTCGTTAACAATGTGTAAAAAGTGTGTGTGAGAGAGAGAGAGAGAGAGAGAGAGAGAGAGAGAGAGAGAGAGAGAGAGAGAGAGAGAGAGAGAGAGAGAGAGGGGGAGGGGGAGAGAGAGAGAGAGAGAGAGAGAGAGAGAGAGAGAGAGGGGGGGGGGAGAGAGAGAGAAAGAGAGAGAGAGAGTAACGCAGTGAAGGAGCAAGCCCACGCAAGCCATGCCACTGCAACGCAAGCACACACAGCGTGTGAAGCGAGAGAGGGCTGCGGTGTGCTGCAGACGTCGATCTAGCCCGAAACCCAGCAACACGTTTGCGTAATGTGCCACCAACGATGTCAATCGCAAGAGAAAATGCCTTTCAATTGACAAAAAATACGAAATAATCCAGGCTGTTGACTGAAAGCAAGCTCCTCTGGCAGAGATTTGTTGTCAGTTCGACATTCCACAAGGGTCGATTCAAACCATCATTAAGGATAGAGAGAAAATAGTGGAAGCATACTGCAATGGGAAGTTTTCTCTGGATCGAAAAAAGATGAGACTACCCGATGCAAATGCCTGTAGACCAAGCTCTTCCGATGTGGTTTAAGGAGGCAAGGAGAAAGTTGGTGCCAAATCCCCTGTTCGTGGGTACTTGTGGCAAGGGCAACTACCCATGAATAAGTACAGCTGGATTAGTCCACAAATGCTTACTTTCCTTGCATTTCTGATTTAACAGGAATCGGATATAACAGATCTCTACTCCCACAATCCCTGTTATATCAGGTTTCCACTGCAGTATAGTCGCCTAGTTTAAGGCGTACGCTTCATAATTATCTGTCTAAATCAAGAAAGAAAAAGTCGCACGCAAGTTACTTTGTTAATTTTATTACACTGGTTCCGAATTCGATACCGGTATCATTTTTACGACAGGGTGGTAGGCCTATATAATTAGAGACATAAAGATCCTACACTAGTATAGGATCTTTGGATCAATACCATCACCGCGACGCATTCGTTTAGCACAGTCGCTGTTTCCCGGACGAATATCTTTTTTCTGCTTTTAAAAATTGCGGCGCCCTTTCCCGGTTCTTCGAGAGATCCGCAACACACGCGTGTGCTCACTGAACGACGCAACGGAGCAATTGAAAGAGCGGTTTTCGGACTTGTTAAATTAATAACCGTGATGAGCGTGTGTATGTGAGTGAGTATGTGTGTGTGTGTGTGTGTCTGTGTGTGTGTGTGTGTGTGTGTGTGTGTGTGTGTGTGTGTGTGTGTGTGTGCGCGTGTGCGTGTGTATGTGTTTGTGTGTAGTGTAGTGTAGTGTAGTGTCGTGTAAGAGACATAGCGAGAGCAGAGAGATGGCGCTTGCGAGAGAGAAAGACAACGAAACAGAGAGAGAGATAGAGAGAGAGAGAGAGAGAGAGAGAGAGAGAGAGAGAGAGAGAGAGAGTATATTATTATAAATTTAACGGCCCTTGCAATACTATTTTGTTTTGTTTTAGTAGAGGTTTTGCGACGCTCGCAACTGCATAAGGTCATATGAGCACCAAGGGGTGGATGTCAATAGAGAAGTCCTTACTGGGAATCAGGCTTACTCTGCTCACCTCTCTAGCTTCACCAGCACAAAGTCT